GTCGGCGCCATCGACGTCGCCGGCGGCCTCGTCGTCTGCGGCGACGGACGCCGATGCAGGGCCCGTCGCCGCCGACAAGGACGCCGATGCCTCTGGCGGCGGCGTGTCCGGGGGCGTGGCCAGGGGCGTGGCAGGGGGCGTGGCCGGGGGGCCTGCTCGCATAGCTTGACGTCGCCGAGGACGGCGGCGAACTGGGGCAGCTTGCAGCACTTCGAAAACCAGGCGCACGCCTGCGGCGGCTCACGCGGAGAGGGTTTGCTGAAACTTCCCCCCCTCCTCATCCTCCTGTTCCTCCTCCTCCTCCTCCTCCTCCTCCTCCTCCTCCTCCTTCTCCTCCTCCTCCTCCTCCTCCTCCTCCTCCTCCTCCTCCTCTTATTATTATTGTTATTATTAGCATGTGTTGTATTATGCGATTTCGTGTTTGATCTTATTACTTGTCTTAGTAATAAGAATAGTGTTAACATACTGCTTCCGATCATTATTTCTCTTTTTTCGCATTAGTACTAGCACTACTTGTCATATGCTTATGCTTAGTAATCATCTCAAACTATTATTATTCGTATGGCTCGTCTGACTATTATTATGCGTAGTCTTCTTCTTCTTTCTATTATTATCTTGCACTGGGTTTCTAGAGCTCCGACCACTTTATTCCGCGTCGCACCCCCCCCGGACCCCCGCGCCGTGGCTCTCTGCCCCGAGCCCCCCCCCGCGTCCCCAGCGCCCCAGCGGGAGCCCCGCCCACTGCCCCCTCCGCCACGAACGCCTTATTCCGCGTCGCACCCGCGTCGCATCCCCCCCCCCCCGCGTCCCCAGCGCCAGAGTGGGACCCCCGCGCCGTGACTCTCTACCCCGAGCCCCCCCGCGTCCCCAGCGCCCCAGCGGGAGCCCTGCCCGCTGCCCCCTCCGCCACGAACGCTGTATTCCGCGTCGCGACACACACCACCTCCCCCACCTCCCTCCCCGCGTCCCGAGCGCCCCAGTGGGGGCTCCGCCCCGTGCCCCCTCCGCCACGACAAGTTTATTCGCGTCGCGACGCAACACCACCTTCCCCCCCCCTCCCCGCCCCAGTCCACAGCGCCCCACTTGACCCCCGCAACCGTGGCCCTCTGCCCCAAGCCCGCCAGTGCCCCTCCGCCCCGACATTTTATTCGCGCCCTCACGCACACCACCACCCCCCCCCTCCTCTCCGCGCCCCCAAACGCCCCAGGGGGACACTCGACCCGTGCCCCTCCGCTCGAGCACTTTATTCCGCGTCGCGACGCTCCACGCATCCCTTCCCCCCCTCTCCCCACTGGGATTTGGCCCGTTGCTGGGGCCCCGAAGGGGCGAGGCCTTGCCCTCTCTTACCCCCCCATCCTCCACCTCATCATCCCCATCACTTTTTGCAACAGAGCCATGGCACACGTGCCATGTGTTCGGAGGTTGGGGGGTGAGATCGAAGTGGAACGGCGAGCCCCCCTACCGGGAAATCGATTTCGGTTTCGTGTTCGTGCGTGCCGTGCGGGCGAGGCGAAGCTGCGTGGGGCGGGCGAGAGAAAGTCTCCTGTGGCTGAGGCGCGGCCGGACCAAATGATTCCCTTCCGGGCGGCCGGTGGCCCGCGGTGTCCCGCCGGTGTCCCGCGAAAGTCCCGTGTGGCTGAGGCGCGGCCGGACCAAATGTCTCCCTTCCGGGCGGCCGGTGGCCCGCGGTGTCCCGCCGGTGTCCCGCGAAAGTCCCGCGGTGTCCCGCGGTGCCCCGCGGTGTCCCGCCGGTGTCCCGCGGTGTCCCGCGATGATGATGATGATGATGATGATGATGATGATGATGATGATGATGATGATGATGATGATGATGATGATGATGATGAGATGATGATGATGATGATGATGATGATGGTGATGCTGGTGATGATGATGCTGCTGATGATGATGACGTCGATGATGATGATGATGGTGATGCTGCTGATGATGATGATGAGGACGATGATGATGATGATGATGGTGTCCCGATGATGATGATGATGATGTCGATGATGATGATGATGATGACGATGATGATGATGCTGATGGTGTCCCGATGATGAGGATGATGATGATCATGATGATTATGTTGATGATCATGATGATGACGATGATGGTGTCCCGATGGTGATGAGTATGATGATGTTGATGTTGATGATGTTGATTATGATTGTGTCCCGATGATGATGATGTTGATAATGATGAGGTTGATGATGATTTTGGCGTCCCGATGATGATGATAACTCTGATGGTGATTGTGATAATGTTGATGATGATGGCGTCCCGATGGTGATGATGATGATGATGTTGATGCTGATGTTGTTAATGATGATGATGGTGCCCCGATGATGACGACGATGATGATGATGCTGATGATGATGTTGATGATGCTGATGATGATGATGTTGATGTCGATGATGAGGATGAGATGATGATGATGGTGTTCCGATGATGATGATGATGATGATGATGATGATGATGATGCTAACGATGGTGATCATGATGGTGTCCCGATGGTGATGCTGATGATGATGACGATGATGACGATGACTGTGTCCCGATGCTGCTGATGATGATGTTGATGATGATGATTGTGATGATGGTGATGATGATGACGATGATGGTGGTGTCCCGATGATGTTGATGACCGTGATGATGATGATGTTGGTGTTGATGATGAGGACGGTGGCCCGATTATGATGATGTTGGTGATGATGATGTTGGTGTTGATGTTGTTGTTGATGATGATGATGATGATGACGTTGATTGTGAGAGCGGGTGTGATATCGATAGTGAAATCGATAGTGAGACCGAATGTGATATCGATTGTGAGATCGATTGTGAGATCGATTGTGAGATCGATAGTCAAATCAATTGTGAGATAAATCGAGTGAGATCGATTGTGAGATCGATCGAGGGAGATCGATCGAGCGAGACCGATACTGAGATCGATAGTGAAATCGATAGTGAGACCGATCGAGTGAGACGTTGGTTCCTCCCCCCCCGAACCTCCTTATCACCCGAAGGGTGGTCGTATAGATAGTATTGTAATTGTCTAGAGTATGCATTATTAGTATTGGTTGTGTGAATTGTCCTGCTTATCATTATGCGTCTTTGAACTATTAGTCGTATCCGCACTCGTCTGCTTAATTCGCCGGCCCAACGGGCCAGAGGCGTGCTAAGATCTCCGGTAACTGGTTAACAATTGTATTGTACTAGTTCGCGCGCGCGGGGCGGCCCCTGGGGGTCCCCCGGCGAAAAGTACCCCGCCCGCCGCCTGGGAAGGTCCCGCCCGGTTCAACTCAGAGATGGTTTTCCTTCTGGGTGCGGCCTCTCAGGCCGCCCTGAGCGCGCCAAGAGTGCCCCAAGAGGCCCCCAAGATTGCTCAAGAGGCCCCCGAGACGTTCAAAGAGCGCTCCAAGGCGCCGAAGATGACCCCAAGACGGCCCAAGAGACCCCCAAGACAGCCGAAGAGGCCTTCAAGACGCCCCAAGAGCCTTCCAAGAGGCCTCCGAAGAGGGCCCCAAGAGGCCAAAATCGTTGATTTTCATTGGTTTTTCCGATGTTTTTTGCGTTCTGGCTTTTTCGGCTTCCGGACGCTCCAAGACGACCCAAAAGGCGCCCAAGATCGCTCCAAGACGGCCCACGAAGCTCCCAAGACGGCCCCGAAACGGCCCAAGAGGGCCCCCAAGACGGCCCAAGTGCCGCCCAAGACGGACCAAGAGGCCCCAAGACGGGCCCAAGAGGAGCTCAAGAGGGGAACCGAGAACTGAAAAATCGAGCCCTCCGCCCCAGAAGGCGCCCAGGAGGCCCCAAAAAGGCCCCAAGAGGCCCCCAAGAGGCCCCCAAGACGCCCCAAGAGGCGCCCAAGAGGCCCAAAAGAGGCCCCAAGAGGCCCCAAAACGGCCCCCAAGAGGCCCCAAAACTCGGCTAGCCCACAACGGTGCGACAATATGGGCCGGCGGAATGAGCGAAGCGATTAAATAATCATAATACTGAAATGCTGGTTCATGGTATCATTATTCTTTGTTAGTGGGGCTATGAACTATATACGTGGCCTCACTAAATTATTACGGTTCTTCTTACTAGTAGCACCTCACTCTTATACGTCTTCGTGTGAATACACAGCTCGCCTCATTATTCTTAGTGTTAGTGTGAGTATTGGTATTAGTAGTAGTGTGCTCAGCCGTCGTCGTATAAAAAATCGTGTTCCTGGCCATAGTATTACTCGCATCAGCCATAGTGTTATTCTTAGTACTATCATCATTCGTATGATTCTTAAGCTACTATTCACGAAATAGGTACGAATAACGCGATTGATATTAGTCTTAGATCACTACTCGTCTTCTCTTTCGTCTTACCATTTTTCTTGATGTATTGATCCTCCTCATCCCACTCCTCCTCCTCATCCTCCTCCTGCTCCTCCTCCCCCTCCTCCGCATCCTCCTCCTCCTCCTCCCCCTCCTCCTCCTCTTTTTCTTTTTATGAGTACCACTCTTCGTTTTATTATTCTTTGCATGCGCACTACTAGTATTCTTAGTAGTCACCTCATTCCTCTTATTTGGGTTATTACTGCGGTTCGTCACATTGCGCGTCTTATTATTCTTGCTGGTATTAGTAATGTGCTCATGGTGTCGATGTGTTCGTTCGTCTGCTTCTTATTCGCAGTAGACTGCCGATCATCCTGCTCTCATACTAGTACTAATAGTATTATTATGCGCAGTCGTATTGAGGTTAGCATTATGGCATTTGTTATTATCCGTATTACCATTAGCCGTATCATCAGTATTACTGTTATCATTGTTATTCCCTGTTTCGTATCATGACTTGCCATTCGTATGTGTCGCCCTCGTCTTCTAAGACCATGAATACGATTGCGAATGCGATTCGTCTTATGAAAATTCGTATGGTTCGTATGATTCGTTTTCGTCGTAGTAGTAGCATGGTTCTTCTCATGCGTCTGAGTATACGTATTATCATGATGTTTGTTACTCGAAAAAATCGTCTGGACAGTACCCAGAATATCGCTAGTATTAGTAATATGGTTCGTCTGCGTCTTAGTATTAATAGTAGTCGTATTCGTCCCCGTCCTCGAAATATTATAATAACAGTATTAGTGCCCGTAGTCTTAGTAGTATTCGCATTCGTTTCCGTCGTATTCGTCTTAGTGGTCGTCGCATGTTTCTGTTCATTATTGTGTTGCAATCTTCTTATTGCTAGTAATACGATTATCTCTATGATTAGTATTCGTCTGTTTTGTTTGCGTATTCTTGCTCTTGTGTCCCCATTTTTGTTATACGTATCCGTCTTCGGGTTCGTCTGTATGTTCTTCCTCCGTTCCCCCTCCTCCTCTTCCGCCTCCTCCTCCTCCGCATCCGCCTCCTGTTCCTCCTCCCTCGCGTGCTCCTCCTCCTTCAACTCCTCTTCCTCCTCCTTCTCCTCCTTCTCCTCATCCTCCTGCTCCTCCGCCCCCTCCGCCCCCCCCCATCCTCCTCCTCCTCCTCCTCCTCCTCCTCCTCCTCCTCCTACTCCGCCTCCTCCTCCTCCTCCTCCTCATCATCATCATCATCAGCAGCAGCAACACATCATCATCATCATCATCATCATCATCATCATCATCATCATCATCATCATCATCATCATCTCATCAGCATCATCATCATCATCATCATCATCATCATCATCATCATCATCATCATCATCATCATCATCATCATCATCATCATCATCATCGTCGTCATCATCATCATCGTCGTCGTCATCAGCATCATCATCAGCATCATCATCATCATCATCATCATCATCATCATCATCATCATCAGCATCATCATATCATCATCATCAGCATCAGCATCAGCATCATCATCATCATCAGCAGCAGCAGCAGAATCAGCATCATCATCAGCATCAGCATCGTCATCATCAGCATCCTCATCCGCATCATCAGCATCATCATCAACATCAGAATCATCAGCATCATCACCATCATGATCATCATCATCAGCATCATCATCAGCATCATCATCATCATCATCATCGTCATCATCAGCATCATCATCAACATCATCATCAACATCGTCATCATCGGCATCATCATAAACGGCATCAACATCATCATCATCATCATCATCAGAACCATCATCATCAGCATCATCATCATCAACTCACCAGCAACGTCATCATCATCATCATCATCATCATCATCATCAGCGTCATCATCATCATCATCACCATCGTCAGCAGCAGCAGCATCAGCATCACCATCGTCATCATCATCACCATCATCAGCATCATCAGCATCATCATCACCATCGTCATCATCATCATCATCATCATCATCATCATCATGTTCCTCCTCCTCCTCCTCCGCACCACTACCACCACCACCACCATCATCAGCATCAGCATCAACATCATCATCAACACCACCACAACCATCATAATCACCATCATCATCATCATCATCAGCATCATCATCAGCATCAGTATCATCATCAGCATCAGCATCGGCATCAGCATCATCAGCAACATCGTCATCATAATCATCATCATCAGCGGCATCAGCATCATCATCATCATCATCACCATCAGCATCATCGACCTCATTTTCGTTCTCATCCTCGTCCTCATCCTCGTTCTCATCCTCCTCCTCCTCCCTCCTCCCTCCTCATCCTGCTCTTCCTGCTGCTCCTCCTCCTCCTTTTCGTCCTGCTTGTCCTCCTCCTCCTCATTCGCCTTCTCCCCATCCTCTCCATACTCCCTCCTTCCTCCTCACTCCTCCCTCCTCTCTCCCCCTCCCCCTCCTCCCGCCTCCCGCCTCCCGCCTCCCGCCTCCCTCCTCCCGTCAGTCGTAAGTTGTCCGTTATCGATCGGCGTCGAGGTCGTCATCGTCGTCGTCGTCGTCGCCGTGTCAACAACCAGCATCTGGAGCGCTTCGGATCGGCGGAACTGGCCGGAGGCCATTCAATAGCAGGTTGCTTATTGCCTCATCAGTACCAGAGAATTGGAGACTACATCACCTCACTAGGAGGACCCGTCCAGTTTCTCCACCTCCGCTTCCTCGACAAACTTCCCAGGGTTTCATACTCACTCAGCGCCTCCTGCAGCAAGCAAATCACCCTCATCGTTTCCTCCTCCTTCCGATTGTGCTTGTCCGTCGACTCCCGTGGCTTGCGCATCTCTTCTTTGAGGGTGCTCTCCGACTGGCTGAACTCTGCCACCATCGCATCCCGCGAGGTCTGTGCCACTTCCTCCAGTTGATGCGCATGTTTCTCCGCCTGCACTTTGACGGCCGTCGCCACGGCCTTGTGAGTTCGGTGATGATGATGATGATGCTGATGATGATGATGATGATGATGATGATGCTGCTGCTGGTTATGATGATGATGGTGGTAGTGGATGTTGATGATGATGATGATGATGATGATGATCAACATCATGATGATGATAATGATGATGGTGATGTTGGTGATGGTGACGATCATGATGGCGATGATGATGATCATGATGACTATGAAAACGACAACGGCGACGACGACGACGACCATGACAACAATAATGATGATGGTGATGGTGATGATGATGATGATGAGGGTGATGGTGATGATCGAAATCATGATGATAATGATAATGATGATGGTGATGTTGGTGATGGTGACGATCATGATTGCGATGATGAAGGTGATGATGATGATTATGAAAACAACAACGGCGACGACGACGATGACCATGACAACAATAATGATGATGATGCTGCTGATGCTGATAATGTTGATGCTGATGTTGATGCTGACGATGATGATGACGATGACGATGACGATGATACAGATGATGATGGTGATGATGATGATGATGATGATGATGGCGATGTTGATGATGATATTGCTGATGGTGATGATGATGACGATGGTGATAGCGATGGTGATGATGATGATAGTGGTGGTGGTAATGACGACGACGACGATGGTCTTAATAGTCATGGTGAAGAGGTGGTGTTGATGATGGTATGATGGCGCTGGTGATGGCGGTGACGATGATGATGATGGTGCTGGTGATGAGTACGATAATGGTGGTGGTGCTGCTGCTGATAGTGTGATGATGATAGTGGTGATGATGATCATGCTGATGATGATGATTATGATGCTGATGTTGATGATGATAATGCTGGTGTTGATAATGATGCTGGTGATGATGATGTTGCTCATGATCATGGGTATGATGGTTGTGGTGATGATGATGATGATGATGATGATGGTGACGCTGATGATGATGATGATGCTGATGCTGATGCTGATGCTGATGCTGATGCTGATGATGATGATGATGATGATGATGATGATGATGATGATGATGATGATGGTGATCGGGCCTCCCAGAAAGCATACAACCACAACCGTACGAGCTGGGGATAAATTTCCTCCTCAGAAGGCGGGCCCAAATGTGTGCGCTGTTGCCAGCCCCCCGACCTCCAGCTGAGGAGTCAGATCGTGCAAGGCCCTTTTTCCTCACGAGCGAGCTGTTCTGCCATCCCGAGCGAGCTTTTCTGCCGTGCGAGACATGCTCAGTTACGTAAGCCCCGCCGCCTCCAGCTTTGGGGCAGCATGTCAGGCAGAGCGAGCTCTTTGTGGCCGCCATGTGTCGGCGAGGCAGTCATAGAGGAACAAAAAAATGAATAAGCATAAATGCTCAGAGGTCCGCACGGAATTCCTGGATTGGCTCTGGACCCCCCTCCTTGGCGCGCGGAGCGCGCCAGGGGCGGCGCCGGAGGCACCACCAGGGGGACCCAGCGCCGATCTAAGAAATCCGCGCGGACCTCCGATAAATTATGTTTATGCCGTTTGTCGACGGCGCACCTGGGCGTGAAGTGAGAGGGGGCGGGCCTTCTCAAAAGGCGGCGGGGCTTCTCAGATACCATCCAGCCTTCTGAGAGAGCGTCTGTGTCTTCGGAGAAGACCTAGACAGCTTCTCGGAAGGCCAGAGGCCTCTGAGCCTTCTGAATCGGACCCGCTCCCTCTGGCTTCCCCCCTGAGCTCGCCACCGATTTTTGCCCCGCAAGATCAGGCCCTTGTCCATGAGGCCTCCGCGGCGGCCCTCCGTGGCCCCCCGGGCGCGCGTCATCAGCACGCAGCCCGTTGGTGCCTGGAGGAGAAAATCAGAAGTGCGCGCAAGGAGTGCGCGCAAGCCTTGCCTGGTGGGCGGCGCAGCTGAGCGGGCACGCAACGGTGGCGCCTGGGAGAAGCGAGGCGAGGGGATAGGCAACCAGGTGTAAACTCTGCGCCTGCAGGTCAGACTTCCGAAACATCGGCTGGGGCTCAGAACTCGAAGGACGTCTGCAGCCAGGTGAATCCCAGCGGGAGTGTCCGATGAGCTAGCGGAGGTTGGACCCGCAGGGGTTGGATCCGCAAGTGGTCACAGAGGGGAGGGGCTGCGGCGAAGATCGGTGGGGACAGAGGCCGCGACGCGACGCGTGGACTTGTCCATGTCCAACGCCCGGGGCATCGATGCCTGGGGACCCCAGGGGGTGGTGGACACGGATACGCTCGCAAGGCCGTGCACGGCGACAGCAAAACCGAAAACCAAGAAACCGACCCAAATCGACAGGCCGAAAGCAGCCTAGAAGGGCGCAGCGAAACGGCGACGACACGACAACCGACCGGCCCGAACTAGCCAGGCGCAACCGACTGCGACGCCACCGAACCGACCGGACCGTGAACACCCTGGCTTCGGGCCCCAGGCCCCCCCTGGGGCCCGAGTCGACCATGCCCGATCCCCCGGGCGGCGGTTGTGGCTGTGCTCCCGCCTCGGGCGCGAGGGCCAGCCCGCGAGGAGAGGCCCGGGGGGGGGTAGGGCCGCGGGGAGGAGGCGACGGGGCCGGCGGGCCTCGAGCTGGGAGGCGTCCCGCAGAGACGGGGAGGCTACGTCTCCGACCGCGGACCCCCTCGTGACCCATCTGCCTCGGGCGGTCTTCGGCGATCTTCGGCGGCCTTCTGGCGGCTCTCGGCGGCCTCCGGCGGCCTCTGGCGGGCTCCTGCGGCCTTCGGCGGTCTTCGGCGGTTTCCCGCGATCTTCGGCGTGAAAGCTGGATGCCTGCGACTACGGCCAGGCCTAGGACGGAAGACCATCCTTCCAAGAACATGAGAGAGACCCTCCGCCGGCCAAAACACCTCAAGCCAAAACGCCCCCAGGATGCACAACAACATCCAACAAGCACGAGGAACATTAGGGTACCCGTCGGTCGGAAGAAGTGGGTAGGAGCATGAAGTGGGAACGCGTTGGAAATAGGTTGGGGCTTCCGCCCGCCCCCTGAAGAGGAAGGAAAAGAAAAAGGCACTCGATGATTGAAGTCCGCCGACCCCTTGTGGGCCTCTAGGCGTGTGAGATAATTCCCCCCCATAACCCCCCCCCAGGGACCCTAAACCGGAGACTCGACCCCCCCCCGGCCCCGGGGCACCCAGGACCGAACGCGCCATGGGGGAGCAGAAAGCGCAAAAACGGGCCCACGCGACGGTCCAAGAAGGCCCCAAGAGGCCCACGAGGGCCCCGAGACGCCAAACGAGCGCTCCAAGACGCCGCCCAAGATGGCCCAAAGATAAGAGGCCTCCTAGACGGCCCAAGAGGTCCCCACGAGGCCCCAAGAGGCCTCCAAGATGCATCCCCAGAGGGTCCCTAGACGCATTGGCCCATTCTCTTTGTAAAACGTACATGTTTCACAAATTCGCCTTCTGGGCTTTCCAATGCTCCCAGACGGCCCAAGAGGCCCCCAAGACCGCCCCAAGACGGCCCAAGAAGCCTCCAAGAGGATCCCAAGATAACCCAAGAGGGCCCCAAAACGGCCCAACAGGCGTCCAAGACGGCCCAAAGAGGGCCCCGAAGACGGCCCCAGGAGCGCTCCAGGAGCGCTCCAAGTGGCCTCCAAGAGAGCTCAATATGGCCCCAGACGGTCCAAGAGCGATCAAAGACACCGAAGATGGCCTCCAGACGGCCCAAGATGCCCCCAAGAGGCCCCAAGAGGCATCCAAGATGCGCCCCAAGAGGGCCTCTAGACGCAAAAGGTTGGCCCGTTCCCTTCGTAAAACGCACATGTTTCACAGATTCGCCTCTGGGGCTTTCCGACGTTCCAGACGGCCCAAGAGGCCCCCAAGACCGCACCAAGACGGTCCAAGAAGCCTCCAAGAGGGCCCCAAGACAGCCCAAGAGGGCGCCAAGACGGCTCAAGAGGCGCCGAAGACGGCCCAAGAGAGCCCCGAAGACGGCCCCAGGAGCGCTCCAGGAGCGCTCCAAGTGGCTTCCAAGAGAGCTCAACATGGTCCCAGACGGTCCAAGAGCGATCGAAGACACCCGAGATGGCCTCCAGCTGGCCCAAGACGCCCCCAAGGGGCCTCCAAGATGCGTCCCAAGAGGGCCCCTAGACGCCAAAATATGCTCATTTCCTTTGTAAAACGTACATTTGTCAAAAGTTCGCCTCGTGGGCTTTCCGACGCTCCAAGACGGTCCAAGAGGCCCCCAAGACCGCCCCAAAACGGCCCCAAAGGCTCCCAAGACGGCCCCACGACGGCCCAAGATGTCCCCAAGACGGCCCAAGAGGTCCCCAAGACGGCCCAAGAAGGCTCCAAGGCGGCACCAAGAGGGGCCCAAGAGGGCAACCAATAATTCAAAAATCTAGCTTTCCGCCCCCACGAGCCCCAGGGGGCCCCAAGAGTGCCCCAAGAGGCCGCCAGAGGCCTCCAAGACGCCCCAAGGAGCCCCCAAGAGGCCCCTAGGAGGCCCCCAAAAGACCCCCAGACGCTTCCGTATTGCGAGCCGCCAAGCCAACTGCAATGCACTCCGCGCATACAGCCTTACTCTTCCTCGCGACGTGCTCACTATCTTGCTCGGCGCTAATGCGCTGCTGCCGCGCGAACTGTTTCGTGCGCGCTGCGAACGTCAACAGCCTATTCACCCGTTTCGACTCATCTGCCACATCTTTCGCGGTGATGCCTCGCTGATCACAGCTTCCGCACGCTACTCTTGTTCCTTTCGTCTTCCGGTGGTCCTCCACTTGGTTGCGGGTCGAAAGGCCGACCTCCCAGAAGGACACCCCGCACCCGGGTGCACAGCACGCAAGGCGCTCGCAAAACACGCCCCAGACCACCGGCATCACGCAAACATTTGGGCCCCTTACGTATCTGCCACCACCCGCGCGCGACACCGCACCCTCACACAAGACGCCGCTGGCCAGAAACTCTTGGCCTCGCAACACTCACAGACGGGGTCGGCGGATGTGGCGCAAGCCTGTAGAATAGGAAAGCGCCTGAAGTAGATTAGGATTTAGGATCTGGGAATCCAGAAACAACTACTGGAGGAGCTCGACCACAAGAAACCTGCCCAAAAGAAACCAAGCCCTGATACCCCAGGACGGCCATTGGTCTTGGTGTGTGAGCATCACGCTTTCCAAGGCCGGCCCACCGAACCCCAAGAAACCCGGGGCACCCTGGAAGCGAGCAGGGTGCTTCTTGGCGTGGGTTCCCACTGTACTTTCAACGACCGCCTGTGCGCTCCCCGAACCGACCTCGATCCGATGCCTCGGGCCTCGGTCCTACCGCCACGAGGAGTCCGCGATCGAGCACCCAAGGTGGGGGGGGAAGGCCCAGCGAGGCGGAGGAGGGGCCGAGGCCCCGGCAGAGGGGGGAGGCGGCGCGTTCGGTGCTGTCAGCTGCGCAGGCGCTAGGGCCACGCCAATTGCGATGCTGGCCAACGGCGATGCTGGGCCAAGACGAAGCCAGGACGAGGACAAATTCGGGTGAGGATCAATCGAGAATCTCTGAGATCCGGCGGCCCTGGAGGATGTGTCGGGCGCCGCGGCCTGCTCAGAGCGCTCTCCAGCGCTCTGAGAGCGTTCTGGAACGCCCTAACACGGATTGATCCTCGTCCTAGCCCCGTCCGATGTTGGGAATCTGGCTCTTGCGACGCCGAACTCGGGCAGGACAGAAGAGCATCCCTCAAGAACACGAGCCCCTCCGCCGGCCAAAACGCACAGGACATTCAAGGGGGGTGCACGATGAATATTCCAAGGGTACCCTCCCCAGGGTGCACGCGAACATCCAACAAGCGCGGAGAACATCAGGGTACCCTCCCCGAACCGACCTCGATCTTGTACCTCGGCCCCACTGCAGGAAAATACAAACCAGCCTTCCCCGCAGCTGGGTTGGCCACGAGCCACCCCAGACCGCGATACCGAAACCAACATCGTTGCTGCCTACGTCGCCGTTGGCGCGTCTACGGAGGCAGGCGCAGAAAGCAACAGAGCGGCGGCCCGGGTACTGCACATTCAAACAGTGCAGGGCCCGCTCTCTATGATACCGCTCCTAGCGAACCATTACATTTTGGAGGAAGCAAAAAATTACATGAGCGTGCACGGGGAGAAATGAACCTCGCATGCACATCTAAGATAGATGCAGGCCGTCAAGAGGTGGCTCCGGGTGATGGATGCCAGTCCTAATGACAGAGCTTGCCGACCCCCATGGGGTTCCCAGCGTGAGAACATCTGCGTCTCCCCCAGGCGAATTGCACAGTCTGGGGGGTGCGCGGGCCAGTCGGCTGCACGCAAGCTTGACCCTGGGCAAGAGTGACCTCTGGTGCGCGGCTTGCCGATCGTGGCATGCGATTAGACAGCAGCTGCTTCCGCGTCTGGGTCTGCCCCCCCCCCGCTCAATGAAAACCGCACACGGAAGGTCCATCCGACAAAGCGTCAACCTTACTCGGGCCGGGCGAAAGGGGGGCATAGCAAAGGGGGGTTTGGGAATCAGCTCGCGTAGCTGATTTTCCCGGCGCCTCCCGGCGGCGGAGGCGGCCATGTATCGAGGAATCGGCCCCTCGGTGGGGCTGAAACCAGCTGCATGCAGCAGATTTCATAACCCCCCCTTTCCCTTTCTCCCCCTTTGCTTCGGCCCAACTTGCGCGCAGCCGTCGGCGGACCCCGAAATCCAAGCGCAACCTGCACCAGGACCCCTCTTGGGGTCCATCCTCGGTAATCTTTCCTCCCCATGTCCGTGTTTGACCTTTCCGCGACCGGGCCTCCAGAGTCCGAAAGTGCCGAAGAGCAGACTGGACCCTTGAGCCGTCAAAACCGACCGCGACCATCGGTCGAACGCACCTGCGCGTGGCCGGCCCACCCGTGCGACCACGTGCGCACCCCGCGTGCACGTTGGGAGGCCCGGGCCGGCGGGGAAGGAGAAGGCCGTTCGGACAAGCATGCGTCGGCGCACTTTTGCCTCCTCCTGGCCTCGGAGCTGCCGTCGCTTCCACGTCTCGCCGCTTCCACTTCTGCAGAGGCCCGAGGCTCGGGCGGCGAGCCCGCGGGGAGAGCGAGAGAGGAGGAGGAGGAGGAGGAGGAGGAGGAGGAGGAGGAGGAGGAGGAGGAGGAGGAGGAGGAGGAGGAGGAGGAGGAGGAGGAGGAGGAGGGAGGAGAGGAGAGGAGGAGGAGGAGGAGGAGGAGGAGGAGGGAGGAGGGAGGAGAGAAGAGGAGGGGTCGGGTGCTCGGAAGGCTCGGGAGCCCCCCCGCCTGCCGGGAGGCGTGCGGAGCCTTCCCCGAAGACACGAAGGATTTCTCCGAAGGCCGGGGCACTCCCTCCCTCCTCCCTCCCTCCTCCCTCCTCCTCCTCCCTCCCTCCCTCCCCTCCCTCCTCCCTCTCCTCCCCTCCTCCCTCCTCCCTCCTCCTCACTTCTCACTTCCCCCCCTCGCTCGCCGCCAAGAGACCCACGACGCACAGAGCTGGTTTTCTTCGGCAAGCCTCGGGATCCTCAGAAAGGCAGGGGTTCCCTTCACCACGGAGCTTCATCTCTCCCACGTGAGCCTCGGGACCCCAAACGCAGTGATCCCTTTCAGCCGAAAGTACCTGCATCGACAAAGCACAAGAGTCCCTTCCGTCTGGTCTCAAGCACACGCGAGAGCAACCTGGGCCCAACAAAACGCAAGGGCTCGCTACACCCGCAAGCCCCCCCCCCTCCCCCCTTCGGAAGAAAGAGAGAGAAAAAAAGGGGCCACGCCGTCCGCACAGAGCGAAGAGAGCATAGAGGTTCGTTCGATCAAGACACACGGAAGGGCGAGGAAAGACATGGACAGACAGCCCTGGGGGGGCCACGAGCCAACCATTCCTGCAAAGGTTAACACTGTGTTATGGAAGATAGCCGATGGATCTTCTTACTCGCGGCGTCGCGGGGGGGCGTAGCTCTAAGGCCAAGGGCCTTAGTTCGAAATAATGGCAGCGGCGAGCCAGGAATGAAACCACAAGGCCCTCGAGGCTTCTGGGGGAAACCCTCTCGGGCATCTTACACTCCTGGGGAGGGAGCTTGATTCACACTCCTCCTAGTCGCCGTCTCGGGCTGGATCGCTGCCGCCTGTGCGGGGACTACAATAACAAGTCACTCGCCAGAAACTTCATTGCAAACAGGAGATGATTACCGGGACAATCTGTAGCAAGCAAACGGCTTGCACGGCATACAAGGTATACTCAGCTCTCAGCGCCGCTGGCGCTTAATCAAAGACTAGCGATGGCAAGAGTTCGATCGCGAAGCGACACAACCCAAAATATACAGCCATCTTATCGAGATAAGATCTAAATTCTGAACGGGTGCGATCGTCATCACATCTAGCTAAACTGTGCGCACAGAAACGAATGAAGCTTCTCGAAAAATGCGGAATTACGTGTGGATCTTTGGCCGGGCATAAAATCTGAGCGGCAATGCGGAACACATTAATCTTTACCGGGCGTAAAATCTGAGCAGCAATGCGGAACGCATAAATCTTTGCCGGGCGTAAAATCTGAACAGCAGAATATTGCCGGTCCGATCGGCCACTCTGCCGTCCGAAAACCAAGCGGGGTTCACTTTTCTTGGGCTTCGCCGGTTTGTCCGTCAGGTCGGATCCTCGCCAAACGTCTCTGCCTGTGAGCTTCCACCAGCGGCCCTTGAGATCGTTCATCACACTTTCCGGGAAAATCGTGAAATCGGGATTGCCGAAGTGATCACGCCGAAGCAGCCACGAAGCGTGCTTCTTGCAGGTCTTGCAAGTGATATATATACTGCGCGGGTTGTGGCCTATGACAACATCATGATGAGGAATACCGGTCGCACAACTGAGCATGTCATTCGGCTGCACCGTGGGCGAGGAGCCGCTCCATGATACAACACTGGCTGATGAGGCTGACACGGAACTCGATGAACTCGTCAGGGAAACAACGGTTGGTGATGCGGGGGCCGAACTTCCCTGCGACTTTGCTGATCTTGATCGTCCAGATCCCCGTGCTGATGCTGCAGTATACGGTGATGGCGGCGCGCTGGAAGATGGTGGTTCTGTCGGTACCTGTGGTGGCGGCAGCTATTGGATTGCAGCCGATGCTACTGAACTCGATGCCTGCGCGCTGCTAAACACGTCCGCGTGGGACATCGCGATGTCATCATCGTGATCACGGTCCTCTGGAATGGTAGGTGGTATGTTGCGGCGCCGGCCGAGCATGCGGCCGCCCCAGCCAGGGTGCTCGCCCATGACCTTTGCCTCGGCGACGCTCTCCTCGGTGGCCATCGCGGTGTTCTGCCTCATGGTCGCCCAGAGCGTCACGAAGATGCCAACACCGATAGTCATGCCGAAGACCAGCGTGAACGTCTGCAGGCAGACGTAGAAGCTGTAGTCTGGCATGGTCTGCGTCGGCGTAGGCTGCCCCTTGGCCTTGCCGAGGCAGGTGAAAAGGACTGAGGCGAGCATGGCAGCGCGTGGCTGCCGAGTCCCATGGGTGTGTTTGCGGGCCCCGAAGAAAGACAGCAAGACGCCCGCCTCCATCGTCTTCGTCAAGGCGTCCGCGACAATGGCCCAGGTCGGAATCCAGCTGAGCTTGAGCGCACTGTCGGGGTGCACGGCCTCCTTGATCATGGAGGCGACAATGCGGAACCGCTTGTTGGTAGACTGGCCCACGTCTGAAGCGATGTGCGTCACGAGACCCTTACTGTCGCTGTAGATATCCCCAGGGCGCCTGTCGGCGAGCACGTCGATATGCTTGAGCGCCGTCTTAGGGTTGTAGGCCTCGGTCAGCAGCTGTCGGAACCACACGTTGGTCTCCGACCCCTCGAGGGCAGCGTGGCCCTCGGCAGCGAGGGTCGACTTCACCGACCTCTTGACTTTGCCAGAGTGCCAGGCGACGGGCAGGCGCAGGTCGCAACGGCCGCCGACGACGTCACGCGGGCGATGGGTGAGCCCTATCACCATGCCCCACTGGCTCTTGCCGTCGTCCACGTTGGCGAACGCGGCGTCGCTGAAGCACGCGGCGATGGCCGTCTTCAGGTCAACGAGCTTGCGCTTGAGCACGATCGCGAAGTTCGCGGTGGAGTGCACATAGGCGACGGTCTTGTTGAGCGTCTTCGCGTCGGCCCCGGTAGCGACGTTGGCGCGTCGAACTGCGAAACTCACCGGGCAGGCGATGTCCACCCGGGTCTGCACTGCTAGCCACAACAGCTGCCCGAACGTGTGGCGGTAGCTCGTCACCTCGGTGGCGGTGAGCCGGTCCTCAGAACTTCGGCCCTTCTGGGCCTTCAAGTCGACGTAGTTCTCCTGCGCGGCAGCGGTGGCTTGGGTCACGCGGAACTCGTCGTCGAGCTTGGTAATCTCACGTCCGCAGTACTTGATGACCCCTTCGGCTGGTTTACGGTGCAGCTTCGCCCCCAGCGATGCGATAGTGGTCTTCCACTTAGTAGAGTTGTTGCGCTGGGCGATAAGGAAGTCGCCCACATGTGAGTGGACCACCGCAGCGAGCCCACCTTCGTCGCATACGTAGTAGAGGCCCCTCTCGAGCCTGCACTCCACGGGGCCGTGCTCGGCGAAGAACTTCTGCGCATAAAAGTACCACTGCCTCCCAGGGTCGCGCGCCCCGTAGATCGCGCTTGCGGCCATCACGACCTCGCCAGGCCGGGCCCCCGGCGGCGGGTTCTTGGTCGGCATGCGCAGGAGCAGTAGCCTCTCAATGTTACCCGACTGCACGTAGGCCGTCATCGCGTCGCAGGACGAGATGTCCCAGTCCTTCTGGGCCGCGGCAGCCAGGGCCAGGTAAAGCGCGCCCCTGGACCCCGCAGGCGCGTCCGCCCTGATCTGCGACATGTCCTCCTAGCAACCCTGCACGACCAAGCGTGGCTTCGCGATGTTCTGGCCCCTGCTGGTCAGCATCCAGCGTGCGCCCACGGGGCGGATGCCAGGATTACGCCGCAAGGGTCCCTTCAGCTCCTTGGGCGGGAGCTTCTTGTAGGCGCCGAACTCCGTCCACTTGGACCACTCGGTCTTCATGGCGGCGTCCATGTTCTTCTTCTCGGTGGCGCTCAGCGCGTCGTACTTGAACTCCTTGGCGGTCGCGTTGCCCGTGAGCAGTGCCTCACGGAGTCGCGTGCT